CCTTCGAGTTCGACTATGCTCAGCTCTAAGGCACATCATTTACAGTATAGCTCAAGGCAAGAAGAGCTATCTATCAATAAAATTGTCAAGTTCGATTCCATTCAGCTCGATGAAACCTCAATCACACAATTATCCGGCTGCAATCAAGGTTTTTCAAGCCGAGAAGAAGGTATGGGTTAGCCGTGCCTTAGTAGCAAGAAGCCTTTTTTCCGTCAACATAGCTTAAGTCGAGAAAAACTATCTGTCAGCGAAGACTTTTCGAGTTCGGTTTCATTCAGCTAGAGGGCATATCAACCACATTGTGGAGTCAAGAGATTACTTTCCAGTCAAATTTTTAGCCAAGGTCTTTAAACTGAGAAGAAGACCAAAGTGGACTACAACGAGAAGCCACATTCTGATTCAAATCATTTCAAGATGGACTCGACTTCGCGACGGAGGAGCCATCTGCAATTCAATTCGACAAGGAGTTATTCTTTAACTTCACTGAATGAAAATTTGTGTCTTTTTATATTTGTCCTATTTTTTGTTCCATGAAAAAGGACAAAGAGGGGCAGCTGTAGACACCCATTTTCTTAAAAGATAGAACTAGCAAGAGTACAACCACACAAACAAACGTGCAATAACCGAGCAAATAGTCTAGTTGCATTAGGATTTTATTGTTAATAGGATTCTAAAAATAGTTAGTTTTTTTCACTATAAATACATGTAATCCTCCTCATTTGTAACACACGATTTACATACAAAATACAGAGGAAAGCACGGAAAATACAAAAGCAAAACTATTGTAAACGATTTGAAAATGAAATAAATGGTAGCATCTTTTTTACTTTTGATTCGGTCTCTTACATTTACGTTTTAATTATTATTATTTTATTTATTTAACTTTATTTATACGCACATTTCCCTTGTTACTCATTTTATTTATTTTGTTATTTTTCTTTTCTTTTTTTTCATGTAATATTTTTTACATTTTATGCATTTTCTTTTTTACTTTAGTATATATTTTTATTTTATTTTTTAGATTATATATATATATTATTTTTTTATTATCAGTTTTATTAATTTATATATATATAAATATATTTACTATTTTTTTATTTTTTTATTTTTTATTTATTTATATATATTATTTTTACTTTTTTATTATTATTTTTATTATTTGTTTTATTTATATATATTTTTTATTTTTCTTTATTTTTTTTATATTTATTTTACTTACTATTTTATTTTTGCTTTCTTTATCTTATCTTTTATTTAATTTGTTTTTTCTCCATTTTAATTTAATTTATTTCTTACCTTTTTATCTAACATGGTTTTTTTACTTTCTTAAGGCCACACCTTTAAAACTATCTAAGGTAAGTAATTGTGATCGTATTTTTACCTTTTAATTTTAAATTACAATTTTCTTAATTTAAGACAACCAGCAAATTAATTGGTACCGAAAGGGCGGTTCAAGGGTGCTAATCCTTCCTTGACCATAACCAACTCCCGAACCCGACACATTTCTAGTAAAAATGCAGATCATGTAAGATGGTGTCCGACCCACCTAAATTCATTTTAAAGTGGTCGGTGGCGACTCCCAACCCAATTATTTCAAGTCGAAGCCCAATTTGGGGCCCAACCGAAAGACGGTTACGACATCATGGATAGGTAACCATTCTTTTGGTAGCTCAAGGATATTAATAAATATCTCAGCATCACTCAAGGGAGCTCAACACACTCAAAGGTTAGCTAAATGAGCTAGAAAGTAGCTAGAGAGTAGCTGAATGACTAGTAGATGACTTGAAGACTTTTGGGAGCTGAAGGGAGCTAAATGATATCAAGTGTCTAGCTAAAAGACTATATCACCTAGCTAGTTGATTAAGCTCATCACACATAGCTGACCATCCAAGCTACCTAGACACTCACTACACAAGCTACACCTCTCGGCCATGTGTTATGCATTATGCCTTAGCTGAATTCACCAAGCACCTAGACGTGAAGGTCTATGATATCCAAGGGAGGAGGAGCGCTCATCCAAGCAACCATGTGCAAGGCGTATGGACCATTAGGCACGCCAACCAACCATGTGCAAGACTTGTGGCTTCTTTAGGTTCCAACACTAAATGACAAAACCATTCGACCATAATCACTCTTTTAGGCAAGAAGATGAACCAACTTGTATCTATTCGGCCAAGCCTTACTTCCCTCTATCCTAGCCAAATAATTAATTTCCCTTTCATTTAATTATTTCAAACATTATGTATTTATGAAAAGCAACAAGGGTTGGTCGAAACATTATGTGATCTTTACGCCATTCCTTTTCATTTTCTATATAAGCCAATGCCTTGGATATTGTAAAGGCATCCAATTACATTTTATTAAATCACTTATAAGGTCTTCATCTTTCTTATTTCTTTGTTGAACTTTATCAACTTATCAAGCCTTGTGCTTGTGGCGTCAAACCCCTTTATTCCATTGATACTTGTGCATCCTAGTTGTCTTATAACTAGAGGGGCCAAGTCTTTTATTACTACCCCTTGAACAACTTATAAGGAAAGGTGCTATAATCTTTATATCCTAGTTTCTTCCTTTTTGTTTCAAGATACTTTTAAACTATTTAGCATTTCTTTTTTTAACCATCACCAAACCTTAAACAAATAATCAAAGACTTTCACTCAAACACTCTAAAATCTACATACCTTTATCACCTACATCAACCTACCTTAACCATTCTTCTTTTATGTAACCTATCTTACTACAAGTTGTTACTATCTCACTAGATCCACAATCAAAGGTAGAAACACCTTATATAAGAATAGCATCCAAGTCAACATTCCACAATTTCAAGGAAAGATCGATCTTGAAGCTTATCTTGATTGGGAAAGCAAGGTGGAAAATGTTTTCAATTGTCACAACTATTCAGAAATAAAGAAAGTAAGAATGGCAGGCATGGAGTTTGTAACATCCCAAAAACAAGGTTAGTGGCTAAATTGTAAGATTGTGGAAACTTTGTTCTTGATTTTGGAAAATTAAAAAGTTTAGGGACATAATTGAAAAATTCTTTGTGTGGGAGTGAATTGAAAAGAAGGATGGATGAAGGGGCATATTAGTAAATGGATAGGTGAAAGAATTAAATATTCATTAAGAGTGTTTTATATAAACATGTGTATTAGGGGAGAAGAATATCAGAGAACTCTAAATTTTTTCTTATCTTTTCTTTCTCCTCTCAACGTGAGCTCCATAGCTAAGATATCGAGCGAAAATAAAGTTCGGACAGGTCAACAAAGTGAAACGTACCCAGAGAGAGATCGGAGAATTTCTTTAACTAGTGAGGCCAAGGTAAGTACATAGTATATGTGTATGGTATTTTATGGAAATAAGATTTGCGATAAGTCTATTTCCTATGTTGATTCCATAATTCCATAATTGCAAGCATGTGAATGATATGATTATTATGAGTACATGCATAAGTCACATGTGTTTATATGTTATTATATGTGTTATATGATCGATATGAACATAAGATAACAAAACATAAGTTATATGATACGCTATATGTGTTTATATGCACATGTGATATATGTTATGAGACAAGACCTATGTGATTAATCGTCTATGTGATATAAGTTATAATAAATGACATAAATGGTAAAGCATATAGTATATTTTATGAGAATTATATGTATAATTGGCATGCCAAGAGTCAAGGGTTCTACGTGGTCTTTCGGGACATTTCTACGTGGTCCTTCGGGACATATCTAGGTGGTCATTCATGACGTTCTATGTGGCACTTCATTGCATTTTATACGAGCTATGGTGAAAGCATTTGTGCACAACCTCAATGCACTCATATCTTTTGTTCTCAATAATGTACCATGGGCAAATAAAAGAAATAAAACAAATTAACATTTCATAATGTGATACGTTATTATTTGTTAAATGTATGATCATATGTTTATTGTTGATTGGAGATATAATGCATGTTGTACATTTTAAAAGTAGTTGATTGCATATTTCATTGTTGAATTTCGTAGTTATATGCCTCACTAGGTCAATGAATTAGTGTGTAAGTGTTTCACATTTAGGATCCAAGAAGTAAGAAGAGCAAGGATAGGCAGCGGGGACATCATCACTTCATAAGAGATCATATCAGAAGCAATTTAAACATTAGGTTCTTTTGTTATAGTAAATATCGTTGGCATGTAATTAAATGTTTGAATTCTATATGCTCTGATCATTTTTGTAAACATACATTCTATATATGTAAATTACTGGTTTTAATTTAATATAAGCTAAGTTCTATTTATTTACTGTTGATCAAAGCTTCCAACCAAATTTCATTTTATAATTATGTCCAAATTTAGCTATTATCTATAAAGTAAATGATTTGAAAAGTTAATGTAACATCTTGGATTTGGCCAAGAAAGGTGAAGAACATGCACCTCTGGGAGTTCTTGTACAAGACCAAGATGTGTTCTTCAGGACGTTGAACGCTATCCTGGCGGGTTTCCAACCTCCTACTCCCTCAACTCAAAGAATGAATGTGGCAAAAGAGTTAAAAGGATTAGGAGCTCCTGAATTCAAGTGTGAAGCCGAGGAAGGTCCTGTTACTGTGGACCTTTGGCTTAATGATGTAAAGATCATGTTAAATGGTCTCTACTACTCTGAAGTGGAGAAGTTATATGGAGTGGTTTCTTTGTTGAGATGGAAAGCTAGAATATGGTGGACGAATGTCACCATGAGAATGACAAGTGACCAAGTGACATGGTCCTTATTCTTAAAAGAGTTTAAGAATAAGTTTATTGGAGATCATTTCATAAGGCGAATGAAGTAAGAGTTTATGAACCTAAAGCAGTGGAATCACACTGTGTATGAATATGAGTGCAAGTTCAACAAGTTGAGTCATTTTACTGTCGAGCTTATTCCAACTAGAAAAGATGCCCGTGAATGGTTTATTGAGGGCTTTTGCCCCAGACTGAAAGAGATGTTAATTGTATTAAATCTATCCTCATTCGAAGATGTGGTCAATCATGCTAAAGCTCTTGAGAGAGCTCAGAATGAAAGGTTTGGACAACAAAGAGCTCAAACATCTAAAAGAACCAGTGCTTCATCAATTTCAACACCATCTAAGAGGTGCTGAGATTCTGGTTTCCGATCACAGGCGAGGTCTGAGTCAGCTACATCCTCTACAAGAGGACCAAGTCAAATGAGATATAGACAGACGTAATATGTGGGGTCTGGAGCTGGAAGATTTAAATAGGGTCAATCAAGACAGTGTTATCATTGTGGAAAGAATCGTTCCAGAGTGTGTCGAATAGTTTTCAGAGCCTATTTCCGATGTGGTGATACATGACATTTTATTAGGGATTTTCCAATAATGGCTGGAGAGCCTGCACAATCTGAATGATCTGCTTTGGCATCCCAAAGAGGAAGGGGAAGAGGAAGAAATCAGTCTGAATCATCCACCCAATAAGAAGTACGTTCTACTTCGTGAGTGTACAATATAAAGACAACTGAGGAATATGATGATCTAGAGATTATTGCAGGTATTTTCTAGTTATATGCTAAATTTGTGTTGATATGAATTGATTCAAGTTCCACTTATTCATATATTAGTGATGTCAACAAAGAAGTTATTGTTACAAGGATGTCAGGGTTTTATTGCTAATGTGATAGATACTAGAGTCATGGAGAAAGGGTTAGAAGAGATTCCAATAGTTAGAGAGTTCCCTGATGTCTTTCCTGCAGAGTTGTCAGGATTACCTCCAGATAGAGAGTTTGAATTTCAAATTGAGGTAATGCCTAGAACAACACCTATTGCAATAGCACCTTATCGAATGGAACCAGAAAAGTTAAGTGAATTAAAGATTCAGTTACAAGAATTGTTGAATAAGGGACTTATCAGACCAAGTGTGTCACTTTGGGGAGCACCGATATTATTTGTAAAGAATAAGGATGGTTCAATGCATCTTTGCATAGATTATAGACAGCTCAACAAGGTGACCATAAAGAACAAGTATCCTCTCCCTAGAATTGATGATTTGTTTAATCAGTTGAAGGGAGCTTCGGTATTCTCGAAGATCGATTTGTGCTCTGGTTATCATCAATTGAAGATTCAGGAAAAATATATTCCAAAAACAACTTTTAGAACGAGATATGGTCATTATGAGTTTATTGTTATACCATTTGGGGTAATGAATGCACCTGTTGCGTTTATGGATCTTATGAATAAAATGTTTCAACCTTTTTTGGATCAGTTCATAGTTGTTTTCATTGATGATATATTGGTGTATTCAAAGTCTAAGGAAGAGCATAGTACACATTTGAGGGTAGTTTTGTAAACTCTACGAGATAAGAAACTTTATGCCAAACTATCTAAGTGTGAGTTTTGGTTAAATGAAGTGGCATTCCTAGGGCATGTGATTTATGAAGAGGGAATTCGAGTTGATCCTCAAAAGATAAAAGCCATTTTAGAATGGGAAGTTCCAAAAAATGTGTCTGAAGTTCAGAGTTTCCTGGGATTTGTGGGTTATTATCGAAGTTTCGTTAAGAACTTTTCGATGATAGCTCTACCTTTGACTAAGTTAATAAAGAAAATGTATCGTTTGCTTGGACCTCAGAATGTCAAGAGAGTTTTGAAGCATTAAAGAGAATTTTGACAAAAGCTTCAGTGTTGGTCCAACCCGAGTATGGTAAGAACTACGTGGTTTACAGTGATACAACCTATAATGGCTTGGGATGTGTACTAATGCAAGAAGGGAAAGTGGTAGCCTATTGTTGAATTAATCGATCGACGGAATCGGCCAAGAGAGGGGTGAATTGGCAATTAAAATTTTGGTAGAAACTATTTTTGCAGAAAATTGAGAGTAATTGCACAACGATTTAGAGTGGTTCGACTTTCTCAATCAAAGTCTATTTCCACTACCTTAGATATTCACACTAAGGATTTTCTAACAAATTCACTAATTTGTTCTTTCTTTTGAGGCCAAAGAGATAACCTTACAACTCCCTTAGTGCATCGGTGCACTAAGAGTGCATCGATGCATCAAGTGCATTCGATGTTTCAAAATAGCCAGAGTGCATCGATGCATGGCTGATGCATCGATGCATCAAATGCATTCGATGTTTTCATAAAAATCCTTAGTGCATCCATGCATGGTATGTGCATCGATGCATGAAATGCATTCGATGTTCAATTTAATTCATGGTGCATCGATGCATGGATTGGTGCATCGGTGCATCACTTTGATAAATTGATTTTAGGCTTGATTTTGGTTCAAAATACTTTATGAAAATTGTTTAAAAAATAGTTTAAGTATAAAACACAATTTTACACATTTAGTAAGGTTTGAATTTGAACTTGAAAGACTTGGAGTAATAATTTGATATTCGATTAATTAAATCGAATATACTTAGAAAATCATTTGTAAAATCTTAAAATTCATTTAAACTTAATTTGTTATATCGAAACACAAAAATGTTTTCAACAATCTCCCCCTTTTTGATATAACAAAACATTTGTGTTATTTTAAGATTTTCTAAAATTTTGAAATCAATTTTGAAAGATTACTCCCTCTTACTACAACACTTCTCCCCTTTAACACTTTTACACTTCTCCATCTTTTTGTTAAATCAAAAAGACATTAAAATGTTTTAAAAAAGGTTTTGAAAAGCATAGCCAATTGATTTTAAATATATATATATATGGCTTAAGCTGCTAAGATCATAATCAAAAGAGAGATTAGCCATTAGTTCCATAATCAATATTCATAAACAAATGTGAAATGGCATAATTGGTCATATATATCTAATGATGCAAAAATAAGAAAATTCAACCAAGCCAAATATATATATATATTAAGTTCAAAATCCAATCATCCAAACCATAACAATTTCAAGCATTTAACAATCCAAAACAAACAATCCAAGTTTGAAATACTAAGAAAGCATGGAGAAAAGGTCTAATCCATTGGAGGTTCGGGAGGAGGATAATAATGAGCTCGAACTTCAAGAGTGAGTGTGTCCATACTTTCACGCATCTCCCACTGAAACTCAGTAATCTGATACTCCATGGAGGCAAACCTCAGATCAAACGACTCCAAGAAGGATCAAAAATATGGTGGCATTCGATCTTCTTGCCGTGCTGGTTTCGATGCAGGCTCATCGTCTAGAACGTGATCTTCGATATCTTGCATACGTTGTTGAAACTCAGGATCATCATCAGTAGCCAGTGTCGGAGGAGGAGGAAGAGCATAAGAAGAGTTAGGAGCAGCTCGTGAAGAACTAGCTCCCGGAGTTTGCTTACCGGATCGAAATACCCAAAGACCGATTTCCTCGTCTTGTTTTAAATCTGCTTTCTTCAAGGAAGTAAGATTGATTTGATTTTGGAGTGGAATAGGATTGTCAAGAGAGACGTTTAGATCGAGTTTGATAAAGAGGTTACTCAGAAGACATCCATAAATCAATGTTTCAACATGTTTTGAAGGAACAATGTTTATGATATCCACTAGTTGACTAAACATAATGTGGGGCAGATTTATTTTGATCTTATTTTTAATACCAGTGCATCAACCATAAATCCCTAGCACAAAGAGTGGAGTACCTACCTCCGGATGGTCTAAACCACCAAGAGATCATTAAATAAAGAAAACGATCATGATGAGATCGTAGAGTACTAACACTAGAATTTGGAACATAGGGATATTCCATATTTTTATTCTCATTATATAACCCATCATCATCTAACCCAAAATGAAAAGCTATAGTCTCGGGGTCAATATTAATATATTAGCCTAAAAGTTAGGATCTAATGGCTATAGTCCCACATTGAGTTTCGTTTTGAAAACATACCTCATTGGAATAGAAAATGCGGACTAACTGTTGATAAACGATAGGTTTGAGCTAAAACATTTTATCAAACTTCCAAGCTTTAAGAATCGGAAGGTATTCAAAGTCAATATCTATCATAGCTTGAAGAGAAGGAATATGCTCTTCCCGGATTCTATAAGATTGAAAAGAATTTCTATACCTAGAGTAGAATTCGTCTCTACGACGCTCCGGCATGTTAAAACAAGATCTTAATAGAGATGTAGGTGGAGGAGGAATGGGATTAGGAGGTTGGTTTGAACGAGAATGACTCGATGAAGTCCTAGGGCGTTTGGGATTTGACATGTTTTAAATATTCGAAAAAGGAAAGTAACCTGCAATTTGAAACACATGTATGCACAATAATCAATCCCAAAACTCAATTGAGTCCTCAATAATTCAAGGTTCTCTAAATCGAATCGTAATGGGCAAGGTTTTGAAAAGTATTTGAAAACAATTTTTTGTAAAATCATAATATGTATAGTTTTTATGAAAACAACATAATTAAATAAAAAAGATCAAATTTAAAAATTAAATTCAAATTTTTTATTTTTTTTAATTTCGAAAATTCAAAAATTTCTTTGAAAATTTGTGAGTTTTTGATGAAATTGGTTGTAAAATCTAGTTTGTAATCATGAAACAATCAATGCCCGCTAAAATGTTCATCTTAAAACTAATTAAAACTAGTCCTAAGATTAGAATATGATAAAATAGAGGTTTTTAGAAAAATACCTTGAAAATTTTGGATTTGAGAGGAATGAGATGTTTTGTTGCACGATTTAATAATAGTAGCAGGATATAGAGATGAAAAGCTCGAAGATTCAGACAAATTTTTGATGATTTTGAGTAAAAGGATATTTAAAGAAAGAGAGGCGGCAAGGGAGTGTTTTTGAGGGTTTTGAAACAAAGAAGAGAATCAGGGTTTTTAACCAAAACCCGATAGATGCATCGATGCATGGCCTTGTGCATCGATGCACATTCAAGGCATGCATCGGTGCACCTTCATGGTGTATCGATGCACATTCAAGGATGCATCGATGAACTGTTAGGTGTATCGATGCATGAAGCACAAAATGTCAAAAATCTGATTTAAACACTCAAAATGCTAAATTAATTGGTTCTAGTGGTATTGGCAACTCATATATTGAAAATTAATCATGTCCAAACAATCAAATTAATCCTTAAACTACTTTTGAACATAAAATTAATTTTCATCAAGCAACATAAACTCCCCCTAACTAATAGCAAAGAATGCAATCAAAAATTATTATTATAAGCATTTTTCATTTATACTTAAAAGT